TGAGGGTTGTCAATTTACACTAATTACTGTGTCCTTTGCTGTTCAGAAATTTCTTAAGCTGATGTAATCCCACATGTCTATTTTGGGGATTATTGCCTGTGCTTTGGCAGTCTTGCTTAAGAAGTCCTTGCCTATCCCAATGTCTCCCAGAATTTCCCCAGTGTTTTCCACCAGTAGTTTTATAGTTTGCAGTATTAGGTTTAGATCTTTGATCCACTTTCAGTATATTTTTTTTTGGTGACAGATAGGGGTTCAGATTCTTCTTTCTGCAGATGGATACCCAGTTTTTCCAGCACCATTTGTAAAGAGGTTTTCCTTTTACCACTGGATCGACTGGTACTCTTTGACAAAGATGAGTTGACTTTATGTTTTAAGATTTATTTCACTCTGTTTCAGCATCTCCCATGTCTGTTTTTGTGCCAATATTATGCTGTTTTAATTATCACAGCTTTGTCATATATTTTGGGGCCAGGGAGTGAGATGCCACCCACTCCACTCTTCTTGCTCAGGATGGCTTTGGTAATATGGGGTCTTTTATGATTCCAGACAAATTCTATGATTCTCTTTTCTAAATCTGTGAAGAATGTCTTTTGTAATTTTATAGAGATTGCATTAAATATGTAGATTAATTTAGGAGGATTTCCATTCTGATTATATTTTTGGCAATCCAGGAGCATGGGATGTCTTTTCACTTTTTTGTGTCCTTTTCTATTTCCTTTCTAAGGTTTTCATAGTTTTCCTTGTAGAGGTCTTTGACTTCCTTGGATAGTTGTATTCCTAGGTATCTTATACTTCTTGTGGCTATGATAAATGGGATTACTTTCTTCAATTCTGTCTTTGCTTGTTGTTTGTATAAAGAAATGCTGTAGACTTTTCTAAGTTAATTTTGTATCCTGCCACTTTACTATATGTATTTATTACTTTGAGAAGTTTTCTCATGGATACTATTGGATCTTCTGTGTATAGCATCATGTCATCTGCAAGCAGAGATAATTTCAGCTCTCTTTCCCAATTGGAATGCCTTTTATTTCCTTCTCTTGTCTGATCCATTGGCTAGAAAGTCCAGTACTATATTGAATAGAAGTGGAGAAAGTGGGCAGCCTTGTCTTGTACCAATTTTTAGTGGAAAAGTTTCAGCTTTTCCTCAGTCGGTATAATGTTAGCTTTGAGTTTTTCATATATGGTTTTTATGATGCTAAGAAATAACCTTTCTATGCTGATTTTACTGAAAGTCTTAATCACAAAGGAATGTTGTATTTTGTCAAGTGATTTTTCTGCATCAATTGAAATGATCATATAGTTTTATCTTTCTTTCTGTTAATATGGTGTATTACATTTATGGTTTTGTGTATGTTGAACCACACTTGCATCCCTGGAATAAAACCTACCTGTTCGTGATGAATAACCTTCTTTATATGCTGTTGAATACAGTTAGCAAGTATCTTGTTGAGAATTTTTGTATCTATAGTCATCAGAGATATAGGTCTGTCATATCCTTATCTGTTTTGTTAATAAAGGTAATGGAGGGTCCATAGAATGAATTTGGAAGGGTTCCTTCCTTTTGGATCTCTAAGAACAGTTTGAGTAGAATGGGGGTTACCTCTTCATTAAAACGTTTTATAAAATTCAGCAGTGAAGCCATTGGGACCTGGACTTTTCTTTGTTGGGAGATTATTTATTTCTGAACCAATCTCATTGCTTGTTACAGGTCTATTCAGGCTTTCTATGTTCTCCTGAGTCAATCTTGGTAGATGATATGTCCAGGAATTTGTCCATCTCATCCAGGTGTTCTTCTTTGTTGACATATAGTTGTTCATAGTATCCGCTAATAATGTTTTGTATTCCTGCTATGTCTGTTGTAATGTTGCCTGATTCATTGCAAATTTGACTTATCTGGTTCCTTTCTCTCTTCTTAATTAATCTGGCTAATGGTATGTCAATCTTGGTTTCTTTTCAAAGAACCAGATTTTTTTTTCATTTATTTTCTGTATAGTTCATTTGTTTTCTATTTTATTTATTTCCACTTGAATCTTTATTACTTCTTTTCTACTGGCATTTTTTGGATTTTTTTCCCCAATTCCCTAAGACATGATGTTAGGTTGTCCTTTTACTACCTATCCATCTTTTTCTTGTGTGCACTAATTGCTATAAACTTCCCTCTTATGACTGCCTTTACAGTGTCCCATAAATTATGGAAACTTGTGTACTCATTATCATTTGTTTCCATGAATCTTTTGATTTCAGCCTTAATCTCTTCAGTAGTCATGATATCATTCAGAAATAGTTTATTCAGTTTCCATATATTTGTGTATTTTCAAAGGTTTTTCCTGAGATGAATATCAAGTTTAATTTTATGAGGTCGGTGAAGATGCTGGCTATAGTTTCCATGGCTTTGAATCTGTAAAGGCAGGTTTTGTACCCTATCATGCAGTCAATCTTTGAGAAAGCTAAGAAAATGTATATTTTGTGTTTTTGGGGTGGAAAGTTCTATGGACATCTATCAAGTCCATCTGATTTATAGTATCATTTAGGTCCTGGTATACTACTCCTTTCAAATTTTCTTGAAGAGCTGATCTGGAGTTGGTAGATTCTTTCAGGTTTTGTTTATCTGAGAATGTTTTATCTTCTTTTCCCATATTAAGGATAATCTTGCCGGCTGTAGTATTCTTAACACTTTGAATATATTTGCCCATTCTTTCCTTTCTTTCATTGTATTCAATTAGAGGTCTAGTGTTAGCAAGATGGGATAGCCATTGTAAGTATTTGACATTTCTCTCTTTCCAATATTAGTATCTTATCTTTGTGGTTTTGGCCAGTGATGTGTCATGTAGAGGATCTTCTTGGATTGATTCTATTTGGGATTCTTTTTATTTCTTGGGTCTGAATGTTTGAGTTCCTCTCTAGGCTTGGAAAGTTTTCTTCCACGTTTCATGGACTAGATTATCAATACCTTTATTAGTTTCTTCAACTTCTGGGATACCAATTATTCGGATGTTTGGGTGTTTCATGGCATCTAGTATTTGTCATACATATATTCAGCTTTCTTAGCTATTTTCTCAGTATTTTTGATAATTTTTTATAGGTCAGAGGTCTTGTCTTCTACTTCTGAGATTCAATGTTCTAAATGGTCTAACCTGCTTTTAATACTTTCGAGGGAGATTTTGATTTCCTGTATTACAGCCTTTATATCTAACAGTTTTGCTTGATTCTTTTTTATGGTGTCCAATTCTTATTTCATATCATGGAAGGACTTCCTCATCTCTTGGAGCTCAAAGTCTCCTTTCTCTTGCATCTCACAGAATTTTGTTACCATAAATATTCTAAATTCTTTTTCTGACATTTTGGTAATATCCTCTAATTTTTCCCTACTTGGAGACGAGTTACAGTTTTCTCTTGCTAGAGATGTATTACTTGACTCTCTCATCCTTGAGGCTCTTCTCCTATTTTTAGTCATTTGGTAATGCATTCACTTTTGGCTAATTTGTTGGAGAAGGATTCTGTAATTGTGAGATCATATGTTTCCCTTACTGAGAAATAATTTGGTGCTATTTTCTCCCTTCTGCTGTGTCCTCCAGTGTGGGAATCACATGAGGAGTTTTGAAATCAGATTTATTAAGGGGAATTTCGCTCTTTTTTGCAACCACTACAGTGAGGTGCAAAGAATTCTCTAAAACTCACAATGTTAAGATGTTTAGCTACTATACATCTAGACTCCTCTAGGCAGTGGGTAAGGGATGAGCAGTGAAATAGGAAAGTAAGGTGAAAGAAAATAGAAAACTGAAATAGGAAGAAAAAGCAAAGAAAAAAGGCAAAGAACTAGAACAAGCAGAAGAGAAAAATACAGAAATCACATTGCAGAAAACAGAATTGTGTTAAAAATTGAAGGGACGGCAGTGGCAGAGATGGAGATGTCAGGAAGCTTTCTGTCCTAGGAGAGGGAAGAGACAAATTAGCAAGAGAAAGGCACAAACAGGGCAGAAAGCTATTTTTTAAAAAGAGAAAAACAGAAGGGACAGAGAAGAACAAGAGGCAGAGAGACTTTCCTTACCTGACTAGCACTGGGGTCTGGAGGAGGGGGGGCCTTGGCTGGGAGGGTGGTGGGGGATGCACAGCCTTAAAGCTGCACTCACAAGGAACAGCAGAGGCAGCAGTGGGGCTGGAAGGGGAGGCGCTGGCTCCGGGGGCTTCACAGCTGTGAAGCTGCACCCAGAAGGGACAGCAGAGGTAGAGCTCTATTTAACTTTATTTATTTATTTACTTTTTTTAATTTGACAAGAGAGGGACAGAGCAAGAGAGAGAGAGACAGCAAGTAGCCAGGTCCAGAACTGGAACCACGGTCAACCATAAGGGAGTCCAGCATGCTTAACCACTGCGCCACCTGCTGGCCCCTGAAAGGCAAAATTTTAAGTGATAGATTTTATAGTTGTATACCTGAATTTCAAAAACAAAATTTCAGCATGAGTGTTTTTCTCTTTAGGTGTCTACCTTTCAATATTTTAAATAACATGACTGTTATCTGAAAAATGTTCTAAGATTACTTAGTCAATTTATATACGCTGTTTGACAATCACCAGGGACTATGTACTAAAAGAGACTCCTATAATGGGAAAAAAAGGAAAAATGCATATTTCTTTGAGGATTAATATTTAGCTACATTAACATGAAAGAACTAATTCCCAGCTAAAATGTTTTTATTTCAACATATTTTTTATAGTGAAATTTTTAAAAAGGGGTTGAGATATGAGATTAGGAATGAAAATCATTCTATTTATATGATCGCAATGTCCATATCCTTTATTATGGAGAAATATGGTCTTTTTCCAATCTTGGAGTTCATCATCTCGCTGTAATTAAATATGTATAAAATCAAAGCCAGACTTGATAGTTTGTAAACTGACATGCAAAAAGAAAGTACTACTAGAAGACTTTCAGTAATTACCTCATATTTCTTGTAAAGTTGGCAGCTGATATAATGAAAATACTTACTTTTTCTTCCATAGGACCTGATTGGGGATCTGAAAGAGCAGCTTTCACATCATTTCAAAGACGTTATGGTTGGTCTGATGTACCCACCACCATCTTATGATGCTCATGAACTCTGGCATGCCATGAAGGTAGTGATCTGATCCACAAGTATACCTGTAACAGATGCAGGCCAGGATTTCAATAGAGAGGAACCTGCCCTGTGATGTCTCTACATACTTATACAAGTGGGGCAAGAAAAAGGACCTATCTAAGCAAAGATGTAACAGTGGAAATGTAGTAAGAGGACATGACTTTGTTCGGAAGGTGGAGCCCCCAGAGCCCAGTGGCTGGGGTCAGCAGGTCCTTTTGTTGTACAAAGGCAGACTTCTGAGCTCCATGCTGAGCTACCAAAAGAAAAGAGTAATTAAGTCTCCAGGGCTCTTCAGATTTGCCTTTCCTTGCTATGTCTTCATATATTAAGAGTCATGTGAATCTTTTAAAATTATTTGTAAAAATTTGGCTTATTAACTCAAAGCAGGATAGTAAATCAAAGACAAAATATAGATAACATCTTTATTTTTATGACATTAAGTTGGTCTTTATAAAACTATTGCTTAAATTTACCAAAAATTTACTTCTGACAGATTAAAATAATTCTTTGTCATAGAAAAGTCACTTCCATGAAATAAATGACTGCAGATTTGTTACATGTTGGCACAGGATGGGGACAAAGAGGACCTTTTACTTCTTTTCAAGTGCTGATATTAAACACTTGTAGAATGATTGAAATTATTCCAATATGATACTTGCCAAGGACCAGATTACCACAATCTGTGAGCAAAGTGTGGCAGGAGAGAGATGAGCAGGAAAAAAGAAAATAGCTAAAGGAATTTAGTGATTCCTTATATACACTACTATATAAGGTAGTGTATATAAAATTCACGTGAATTTCAACTAATCACTGTAAAGAAATGTTGGGCGTTGATTCCTACCTCTTGCAAATTTGGGAGACTAAAAACTGTAGGAATGAAATCATACATTGCTATTTAGATGAAACTGGTCTATTTTATCAATATTTGTAAAATGATAAGAATTTCCAATATCAGACTCATATACCTATATGCCTGTGCAAGATAATATTTTATCAATATTTGTAAAATGATAAGAACTTCCACTTTTAGACTCATATACCTATATGCCTGTGCAAGATAATAGAAAGCACCTAGTTCAAGTATATAAGAAAATTGTGCAAAATTACACAACTAGGGAGAGGTGGAGGTAAGTTCCTGAAACATCCTTGAAAAATTAGAAAACATATGCTAATCTCAACTTGCTACAGACCTGATATTTCAACAGCAAACAAAAATGTTCAGCCCCAAGAGCATTGCTTCAATATGTCTTTTTCTGCCTTGTTTTATTCTAAATGAGGAAACTGTTTCCTTTAGATAGCATAGACTTGTTAGCTCTCAAACAGAAAAGCTAGAACTGAAATCAGGCCTATATTTATCCCAAACACACTTCTTTGGTCTTCCACCACTTCTCAGAACACCAGGAATATTGTGTCTCTTTATTGTACATCAGATGCTCTGTTGTTCTCAATAAAAATTCCTTTTTATTTCTGTCTTTCTAGGGAGTAGGCACTGATGAGAATTGCCTCATTGACATACTAGCTTCAAGAACAAATGGAGAAATTTTTCAGATGCGAGAAGCCTACTGTTTGCGTAAGGAAATATACACTTGTGCACATAATTTACACATATATAAACTTCATCTTTTCCAATAACACATAAAAATACTCCAGTTTATGTGTTTTAAGGAATTTCTGAGGCTGGCGAAATGGTTACCTCACTGGACTCTCACATAGTCAACCACCGTTCAAGTTCTGGGTTTAGAACCTTAAAACTCACACTGGGGGGACCAGCAGTTAGCGTAATGGCTATGTCGCTGGACTCCCATGTAATCGACCACGGTTCACGTCCCGGACCCGATGGCTTAAAACTCACGCCAGGCATATGTGTGTGCGTGCCCAAGATCCTGAGAGGAGAATGGAGGAGAAGGGATTGCAGCGTGGCCATTCCCCCTGGGGGGTGATTTCTTGCTTTCTGTCTCTCTGTCTCTCTCTGTCTGGCGAGCACACGCATCCTATAGCAAAAACCTCTCCAAAAAAAAAATGTTCTATCTAACCAAGTCATAGATAATATGTAGACACATGCTAAGTCTCTTGGGTCATTCGGTGATCTCTGTAGCCAGTTTTGGACGAGAGCAGAATGGATTGAGGTGTGGCCATCCCTCCTGGGGGGGAGGGAAGGTGATTTCTGATTTTCTTTCTGTCTCTCTCTCTCTGGCAAGTGTGTGTGCCCCGTAGCAAAAAATGTCTCAAAAAATAATAATAATTTCTAAGGCACTTTTACCTTTGAATATAACTCACTCAAGACCAAGGAACTCATTAAACACAAGTGATGATTAGTGTACTACAAATGAAACAATTCTCTAGACAATCATGTTAAACAAATTTTCCAGGAAAACATAAGTGCAAGTGTCTGCTATAAAGTAAATGTATCCATTAAGACAGGAAACTGCCAAGACCTTGGCTTAGAAGTTTAGAAGCATTTTGTCTCTTATTCAGGAGAGATCTAGCATATAAACAAAATAAAACAAGGTACAGTCACTGCTCAGTGAATTCTGTAAATATATCTACTTCACTTTATGTAAATTTTATAATCCCTGAAATCTACCTTAAAATGAGATTTTTACACAATCTAAAAGTAGAAACAGTAACTGTTTTTTATTTTCAAGAAGTTTTAATGCCTTTAGTTCTTTTGAATTATGTATTATGTAACATTGAATGTCAAGAGAATGTTCCAGACAGTCACCTCTATTGCACTTGAACAAAAACAAGACTTTCCCAAGGGGAATGAAGTAAGAACCTTCACTTAAAATATTAAAATGAGGCAAAGCACTTGGGAAAGGCGCTTGGCTGGGTAGCAGTCTGTGGAAATAGAATGCATAATTGTGAATTTGGAGAATTAGAAAATGTGAAATGACTTTCAACGCTGCTTTCAATTTGGGTACACATAATTGTTTAAAGAAAATAGATTCATGCCTATGTTACTATTAGGTGGCAGGTTTCTTTGACAAACCGTTAATTGATGAAGAAAATGCCAACAGATTACTTGTATTTCCTCTGCTTTCCACTCACAACCAAGGAAGTAGCAATAACTTATTCCAAACACACTGATATGTGATTCTATAATAAATCATGCTTTTAATATGGATATTTTCTTGCTCAGAGTACGGCAATAACCTTCAAGAAGACATTTATTCGGAGACCTCAGGACACTTCAGAGATGTTCTCATGAACTTGGTTCAGGTATGGAACTCTGAAATTCACACCATTTTGCACTGTTAAAAAATAGATATATGTCATTTCCAAAAGAGTAAGACAGATAATTCCATTATATTACAAGTCAACAGTCAATTTTGTGTAATAACATTTACTGAATATCACCTATGTCCAAGGCATTCAGCTAGAAACTTGAGCTGGGTGTATGGGTAAATATAAATAACATAACAGCTCTATTCTCAAAAAATTTAAAAAATCTACTGCACTTAAAATTATTTCAGGCCAGACCAGCAGATGGTGAATGGTGACATCACTAGACTCCCACGTAGTTGAAAATGGTTCAAGTCCTGGACCCGGCCACTAAAAATGCACTCCCGGCACATATGTGTGCATGCCCAAGATCCCGAGAGGAAACTAGAAGAGAAGTAACTGTGTCATGACCATCACATAGGGGGTGATTTCTCGCTTTCTGTCTCTCTATCTCTCCAGCAAGTGCACGTGCCCTATAGCAAAAGTCTTTCTAAAAAAATTATTTCTAGCCCAGCCTCTGTGGAATAGTTGGTGACATGCAGGGCAGGGGTGCTAAAATAGTGATGTGGACTCTAAGCAGGTTGGCCTGAAACATACCGGATATGTGAACATGTACTCAGAATTCTGACAAACTGAAGGTTAGGGGAAGGGAATTGTGGTATGACCAGCCCCTGTCAGTGGGTGCTTCTCTTTCTATCATATGCACACCTGGTCTCTATCACAAATTTAAAAACCATCAAAAAAATGGGGCCAGAGATGGTGTAGTAGTTATGTCACTGGACTCCTACACGGTTAACCACAGCTCAAGTCCTGGACTAGAGGCTCAAAATCACACTGGGCACATGTGAATACATGCCTAAGATCTCAGGAGGAGAAGGGGTGGCAGTGTGGCCATCCTCCCTGGAATGATTTCTCACTTTCCCTCTCATTGTCTCTGTCTCTGTCTCTCTCTGGTGAACACATACACCCTATGGCAAAAAAGCTCCAAAAAACGAATTAAAATATATGCATAAATAATATACACTGAATAAAATTAAATGATTAAACATATTATGACCTATCGTTCTGATTAAAAATTAATTCCATCTTTAAAAATGTCTAAGTGTGTCAGGCAGTGGCACAGAGGTAAACCTGACACTCTGTGAGGCAGTTCCACATGAGAACGTTCCCAGTATGAGTCTGAGAGCTGAGTACACTGGGCACATGTCTGCCCATGATCCAGGACTGGTGGAGGCTGGGAGTGGATCACCACATCAGGACCCTACTAGGGATGTTATTTCTATCTTTTTCACTCATAGAAGAAATAAATAAACTTTAAAAAATGCTGAATGGGAGGGACCAGAAGATAGCATAATGGTTACATCGCTGGACTCCCACGCAGTCGACCACAGTTTGAATCCCAGACCCAGTGGTTTCAAACTCCCACCAAGCATGTGTGCATGTGTGCCCAAGATCCTGAGAGGAGAATAAAGGAGAAGGGACTGTGGTGTGGCCATCCTTCCTGGGGGGAGGGGGGTGATGATTTCTCACCTTCTGTCTCTCTGTTTCTATCTCTCCAGAGAGCATATGCATGCTATAGCAAAAATATCTCTAAAAACAATAAATACTGTATGGTTGAGGCCATATTACCATTTAAGCTTCTGCTGTCTTCTCAATATTGCACAAGGAGGGAAACATATTTCTCATTTAGTAACAACAAAACATTGTAATATAAATATTTTAGAAACACATTACAAAAGAAGAAACAGTGAATCAAAAAGTACAAGAGACAGTCTCTAAGAGACTGTTTAATAAGTATAAATTTGGAACGTAATCAAATCCTACAAACCTGAAGTATACATATAGCACTCAGTGCTGCTAAAAAACCCCATAGATACTATACATAACCGAAGTTTCATTATTTCAAATTGAAATTGGACTTTTGTCATTTACCTATTTTTCAGTACTGACTCTTTAATATGTAATTATTTCCATTCAATTAACATTTATTGAAAGCATTTCACTTATTAGCATTGTCATGAGAACATTTTAAATACAGAGTTATCTTAAGTTTTATGCACATTCTGTATTATACCTGCCATCACATCTAGCAAAGGCATTCAGGAATGCGAAGAGAAAGTTGTGTTCGGCTCATAAATAAAAGAGAATTCAGAATCCCACAACTGGCAAAAATGTCTTAAAAGACAGAGAATTTAGTTTTGCATTTGTTTTCTCTGTGTGTATGTGTGTTTAAATGAGACAAGAGTTTCTACATCTCCGGATGTTTCCTTTATACATCAGAGGATAACTAATTAATTAGTAGATTTCACCAAAAGCCAAAGGTATATAGAATTTTATACATGGGAATATGAAATTAAGAAAAGATTCCATTGCCCTTAAAGAATAAAGAATAAGTCTGCTTTTCTGCAGTCTGGGTTTATGATGTCTTTGAAAGTGAGATTCCTTAAAAATCTTAGAATTGTGATCTACTTGCCTGCAGCTAGTTCCATACACCACTGAAACATTCTCCAAGTTTTTTGATAAATGTAATTCTCAAACATGACTTCTCTTCAGACTCCCATATGCCTCTCTTTTTTTGCAACTTAAAAACAATTAGCAAAGGCCTTCTCAGACAGTGCAGTAAACTGGATATTCCTACAGGGTTGAGTCTAAAAAACTCCTTGCTTTTCAAAGCCTCTTTGGGCAGGTCTCAGCTCAGAACTAGTAAATAGTTTTCCCTTCTTACTCTTACAGGCACCAAATTTCTTCACGTCCTCGTCTTATTTCTGCTTGTAAACTAACCAGGTATTTCCTGAGCTCATCTCTTTCTTATAATACATAGTTAACAGCATAGAGGACACACCATTTCTCTATCTCGTATTAAGAACAGAACAGGTGTTACTGATCAGAAGTACTTCTCCTGCAGGAAGTGATCCACAGATTTAGGCGCTTTCCACCTTGACCCCTGGCTTTTAGGTTCACCATGCTTGTCCTTAATCTGCTGAAACAGAAAGACAATAGAGGATGGTTCAAGGGAGGTTTTATGGACCTCACTGTGATCATATCAATTTCGTTCAAATTTCATCCCTACTTTATATTAAGGGCGACTGTAAAATGTAGTCAAGCTATTTTTCTACAAGCTAGATTTTTAAAAACTGGAAGCAATATGCATAAAAATTTAAAAAGTGAATTGAACGAGGGAGCTAAAAATGACAAATGGAAACAAAAGATGGTAAGGATGAAGGCGTATATGCCAATAAAAAGAAAATTTATGAGGATGACTAGGCAAAGAGAATTTCCAGGGAAGTGAAACTTGAACTTGGTCAGAGTAGAGGAATGGTTATAACAACTGCAAAAGGGAGTTCAACTGGTGAGCTGGAAGGCCATGCCTACTCTACCCCCTTGATGTCTATTACATGAGGCCTTTAATTTTGTTACCAATTTGGGTAAACATGGTACAAATCCAGCAGGGAAGTTAAGATGCAAAAGAAAAGACTACAACACTGAAAAGTAACCATTAATCTAAAGGATAAGAAACATTGCAACTGACCTGAAACTGGTCTGCCCCTGAGAGTCTGAAAACTGGAATCCAGATGTCTAGGTAAAGAAGCTGAAAGTGGAGGGCTAACAGGTGGCCTGGTAAGTTAAGGTGCTTGACTGGTTAGAGTCCCAGACCTGGCACCTTGCTTTCTCTCAGGGCACGTGTGCTCACCAGAGAGACAGAGACAGAGAGACAGAAAATGAGAAATCACCTCCCAGGGAGGATGGCCATGCCACAATCCCTTTTCTTCCATTCTCCTCTTGGGATTTTAGGCACCCATACAGTCACGGCTCTGGGTCTAGACTCTAACTGTGGTTGGCCATGTGGGAGTCCAATGACAAAACCATTACACCATCTTCTCTCTAAATTAATAATTTTTAAAAGAAAAACAAAAGAAGCTAAAAGGAATTTCTACTAAGATAGTCTAAGAAGAAAGAGAGACATCTTGAACACCCCTCCCCCCCAAAAAAAAATAAAAAGGATGTAACCAAGTCATATGCTGGTGGTGAATCCGATAGGTGAAGACTAAGACTTTACTTTTGAATTTGACAGTGTGGAAGCCATTAGAGATACTCACAAAGATTTGGTCCAGATGGAAATGAAAGCTTGATTGGTATATTTTCAGTATAGAATAGAAAGAGAGAAATTGGGGATTGAAAGATTTTCAAATGTTAAACCAACTTTGCATGGCTGGGATGAACTCTATTTGGACATGATCCTATTTATATATTGCTGGAGTCTATTTTAAAAATTGTGTTCAGGATTTAACATCTAAGTTTCTGAGGTATATTATTATATAATTTTCTTAAATGATTTGTGTCTGGTTTAGTTATCAGGAAAATTCTAGCTTCCTAAAGACTTAGGAAATCGTTTTTGATGTTCTATTTTTCTGGAAACGTTTATACAAGAAATTACATGATTTCTTTTTTAACTGTTGGGTAGATTCATCAGTGGAACCACTAGAGGATGGAGGCTTTTGGGTTTTTTTTCCTATTTATGTGAAGTTTTAAAGTTGGACCATAATTTATTTAATGGTTACAGGGATATTTATGTTATCCACTTCTTTTTGGTTGAGTTTTGCCATATTAGAGTTTAAGGAGTTTTTCCATTTCATCCCAACTATTGAATTTATTAGCATAATGGTTTCTTAGAATTTCTATAACCGTTAGTGTTGTAGCATTTATCCCTGATATTGGTAACTTATTCTTTTCTTCATTTGCTTATCACTCTAGTTAGTGGTTTATCACTTTATCAATTGTGATACTATCTTTAAAGAAAAAGAGAATTTCTGAAAGAGTAGCATATATAAACAAACAAAACAATGCCATGCATTGTTTCTTGAAAGTACTTTATAGAGTAAAATGTCTTTGCATTTTTATTAATGCTGTATGTTTTTGAAAATATTCTATAGGATCACCATATCAAGTGGTGTTTTAAAAGACCAGTGTGCAAAAATTTCTTCACCCTATCTTTAATC